ATAAATCGGTTCAGTAAAATAACATGAAATCACATGATTTGGATTGTCTTTAAACCGAAATGCCAAATTGAGACTAATCCGGCGCACTACCTTAGAGTTCCCTTGATGCAAATACTTACGACCCCAGAGAAAGTTGCGACAGCGTGGCGAAGGACGCCAGACAACAATCCACATAAAAAATATTAATGATCACAAATGATTGGGCACTACCGAGAATTGCTTCATTGAAACCACGTGGAACACTCAAGAGAGTCAAGTTGAACTTCCGACCAAAAGTTGGCGTGTCCAAGGTTAGACGATGAAAAGTCAGGATGTACCAACCCGCCGACGACACGATCTTATGACGTCATTACTGATCAACAAGTGTAAACACAGTCTGTTTCCTGGAATATGACGTCACTGAGTGAATATAGCAAGCTACGGTGGAGACGTTCCGGCTGATAGGCGTAAATATCGTGTAGATGAAAGGAGTAGTAGATGGTCTGAGTATTTGGCGGCGCAGATTTCTCTATCCAATGATTTTTTTTTCTTGTTTTGTTCATGTCGCGGGTAACAATTGACTCGTACCGCGCAGCGGTGCGCACATGGACTGAAGGGATTCTACGGATCAGACAGGTAAGGAGATACAGAAGGAGTGACTTTGAAGTGGTCGATAGATATTGAAACCGGAATTACACAAGGAGGAAAAGATCTAAGGATGGATGCTAGCCGAAGAGGAGGTATGTTGCAACACTTTCATGTGTTTTTGACTCTGCTGATACGTCTAAGTCTACTAGGATTGGAACTGTCTCACGTTACGGAGGAAGTAAGTAAATATGTTCGGCAGATATCAGAACGAAGAACGCCATAAGACGCCCAAGCTGAGAGGTGAGTCAGAGAGAGACAGAGCAATAGAGCACGCCGCCCGAGGTGAGTGACAAATACGAAAATGATAGAGGTTGAGGCGAGGAGAATACCGCCGGGATGAGGTAAGTGAATTAAGTCCACCGTCGGAAGTATCGCAGCATGCATCACTCATGACGCTAACGCGCTTGAACACACATCTGCAGGACAGAATTCCACGGCGTCGGATAAAATTGCAGGATAGATTCAGTCATGGAGTCTTTCGAATCACACCGGTCAATGATCCGAAGGCGCCACTTGCGAGTGCCATGACTGCGTGAGAGTACTGAGTAGGTACCTGTCTATGAGCCCAGTGAGACTGCGGTCGTCGGGGTAGCAGGCTTGTGTCCACCGGTTCGTTAGGTGAAAACGCGTAAGACAGTCTCTCACAGAAGGGCTGCAAGGGTCAGTAACCAACGTCCGGCCGCGGGGTTTTAGTAGGGAAACAGAGATGTGCCGTGAGCGGCAGAGGTTGACGGACCAATCATAAGCCACCGAGGAACGCTAATAACTGACGCTACTCGCGTCGATCTTTAGACAAGTAATCGGGGTCAAATGATGTAGGTGTTCGAAGAGAGTGGGCCGGCAGAGATTGATTGAACCAATCACACCCATCGACGAACGCTAATAATGTAATCGCTACCTGCGTTGCACCTTTAGACAAGTAATCAGGGTCAAGTGATGTAGGTGTTCGAGGATATTGGGCCAGGGAGCCCAAGAGGTGCTAGGAAGAGCACACACAATTCCAATGTTGGAATGGGGCGCGATAAGTCGTTGGGAGGTAAGAGTAAGCTTAAATGAAATTTACACTAATCACGGAGTCTATTGAACAAATTGCGTTTATTGTCCCTAATATGTACCGCTGGAGGGAGTTAGAACAATTGCTGGGAGGGACTGAGAGGTCGACGCGGGATCAAATTTATTGTAGTGGGATGAGAGAGGTATGACAAAGAGAGTGAGTCTGAGGGAGATTGAGGTATGCGTCATATAGTGTAAGGACCAGCGGGAGATCTAATCTCAGCATTGAGGGCGACACTAAATGGGGATGTACTCGATTATCTTTGGGATGATAGGCATAAGAAAGGGAGAGAGAATGGTGGGTAGCTATCAGGTATTAGATGGTGGCTTCAGGTTATGTCCTCAAGGGAGACATCAAAATTATATGCTTTGGGGAGACTTCCGTGTCCTAAATTCCTTATGAGACAGATACCATCCTAGGCAGTGAAGACTATAGGTTGACAAGCGACAAGCCAGCCTCATTATAAATATTGTTTGTGACGAGCCCCAGGCGCAAGGAACGGTGGCGGAAAGGAATCGGTCAGCTTGAAACCAACGGACCGATCAGCAATTGGAAATGGGTGTGTAATTACGTTTGAACAAGAAATAAAAAATCAAACAGCAAGAGAGTCAACTAGTTAATCAACAATTTGTGGATCTACCAGCCTATAATACTCACCTGAAGTTGTTCCGGAGGATGGCGCAGGTCGGCAACCATCTCGGAAAGAAAAACACCCCCGATGAACGAAATTTTATTAAACAATAATTTTTTTTTTGAAAACATACTCCCCACCGCTTCCGGACCCCCCTGGGGGCACCATCACACTTGCAGTTTGATTGCAGTGATCAACTTTTCAAGACTTTGGTATACACAACATGGCGGAAATCGTTAGACATTCTGGCCCATATACGGCCAAGGCGAGTGCCTCCCCCTGTCAGCGACCCACCAATGGGAATTTCCGGATGCAAAAGCATGCTATCGCATGCTTTTGATCCTCCAATTCTGGATTACCATTTGAGGAGGGTGCGTCTGTCCGTTACCGAGGTCCCGACTTGGTGGTGCTTTGCGTGGACTACAGGCTAGACCGTTGCACCTAGCCCGGTGAAATTTGTACAACTTATAGATCAAAGATGCGCGACGTGCCTTTGAGGGGTCTCAGCTCGATCGGATTGGTAGGGAGCGCGTGGCACGTGCTCAAAAAGTGCAAATTCGCGTCATAGACTTTACATGTATAAATCGGCGTGCGAAATCGGGCGAAAACGGCTAATTTTGGCCGACACGGGTCCAGTCCCCGTGCAATATCTCGGTAACCGTGGGCCGGATCGGCACGGGGAAAACAGCATCATGTAGATAATTGAACAGGTTATCGAATGATATGCAGTACAGGGGATGGCACGTGCCACGTGCACCCGTGAGGGTACTTTGATTGAAAAATTGCGGTTTTTGACGGATTTTGGAATTGATTTCATTTTTAGGTGACCATTAAACGGAGCGAGTTGGAACAGCGCCTGTTGGCAAGAGAAATGTACCGCCTCTCATGGGAAAATTGTGAAAAGCTGATTGATCCAAATCAAGGTGGTACAAATCACGGGAGAAAATGGTGTTTGTCTATTTTGTGCCACTTTATTAATCACACGGGTTTTGCTCAATGATCTGATATTTCTGGCAATAAAAATGGCACCGATGAAAAGAGCATTCAATTCTGTCCAAGGTTCAGTCTTTATTTTTGCATGATGAGCAACAGTATTCTTAAAAATGTAAATGTTCCAAACCATTACATTGTCATTTTTAGCGAAATTCATCGATGGCCCTCAAAAGACTTCACGCCAGTTTTCGAATCATTCTTAAGTAGAACGCATGATAATACGACACGGGCACCTCGATGCGATGGATCTTTTTTGTTTCACTACAAAATGTTTGGCCGTCAAAAAGCAATCGAACGAAGTGGATACCAACCAAATCGACACAGACCAACCCAATACCCACGGGTCTAAATTAACCCTTCTTCGCGTTGCGGAGCACGCGGGTAACCCTAGTTATCCCTATTCTGGAGCTCAGTTTGATCATATGACGAACAGTTAAATGCGAGGCTTAAATAGTAATATTCTGATATCTGCACGTCACCGTGTTTCCACATAAGGAAAAATGTCGGTTTGTCTGATTTCGATATGTTTAACGTCCAGTGTCTACTGATAAATAGAGTAAGGGGGATCCACCCGCGGCTATTGAGTGTTCAGCAAATTTAAACGGCCAACGGGTTGTCGTTTACTGTTTAAACAGGTTATGCGGCCCCTCACAGACACCTTACAAATACGGATCGATAAGAGCCGCTTGTCATGCTACAAAACCGCACGAGACGTCGGTATTTATGACCACCAAACGAATTCATGGTTCGGTCAGTTGTCGGCAACGATAACAAATAGAGCAGACCATTGAAACAAACTCCAATAAAAGTTATGTTCGTTTCAAATTTCGATATTCTCCGCAGTGTCCCTGGCCAGTTAGGTAACAATAATGTTACTTCAGTTACATAATCAGTATGCACACCTTAACTATTCACAACTATTGATTTCTCGGCACAGCACGCTATGCCTGAATCACAGTGTCGTCCAGACCCAAACCGAAACAAACAACGAAATAAACATTCCGCTGACAGCAGTCTTTCTCCTCCATACCCAGTAAAAGGCGCCGAAAGCCATTCCATGATCGTTATTGGAGGTGGCATATCGGTTATCGCGTCAGTATCCTAGGCGTTATGGATATTTTATGGTCCGTTTTACGGATGTATGAGATCGAATGGTGTCATAATACTGGCGAGAAAGGCTGCGGGCAGGTAAAGGCCATTATAGCGAATAAGCCATAGCAGATCAATAAGACGGCACAGTGCTGCTAAGGCATCTAATGCAAAAGCCAGCCGGTTCGTCCCACAGGCAGGGTGAGACATATTACACCAATCGTTGGTCGTTTGAGCGCAATATTCGGGTATTTAAAAGAGTGGCGTTATAACAGTCAATTTCCACTATCGAGAAAACCTACAGCCAGAAAACATGTTTTCGAGATGAAATAGGTTGTCATAGGGTGTAAAATTACGAAACGACGTTTTATTGGTAATATAGGTAATATGTGAACGGCCGCTTGCCGAAGCTACGAAAACTTGAGATTCCTACGTGAAGCTTCATGATAATTCGTGAAGCTTCATTTAGCGTTTATGGATCCCGAAATGCATTGGTCAGCCAGCCTTTTATCCTGTAAAGTCTTTCAGAAGCAGCATGATGTTGCACAACCATCTTAACATGACCTTGATCTTAACTTCAAAACGTAACACATTGCAGCCACTGACCGGGTTTGAACCTGCCGAGCTCGATCTGTTTATCAGCCGGCGCCTCCCTGAAGAAGTTCCTCTCGGCCGCCCAGGAGAGCAGCACCATCAGGGGGAAGAAGGCGAAGGTGACGGCGGCCTCCCAGATCTCCACCTGATCGGGCGACCAGGAGCCCACCAGGATCACCAGCAGCCAGATGTACGCTGTGGGAGGGTCAGAGGTCAGAGGTCAGAGGTCGGCTCATGAGTGGTGTAGTCGAGCCAGAGGAGGTCGGGTAAAGTCGGGTCACAAGGTCACAGAATGATGGTCACTAACAACGGAGATCAATTCAACGCTTTCCAGGATTGGACTTCCATAATCCGGAAACTTCCGGTTGAATAAAGGTCATTCCCCTGAAATTCAAGCGCCCTGCACCCGTTCCTCTACAATAAGGCCATCAGTCTCCCTCACTACCCCTTCCTTCTCACCCTTCCCTTTTCTCCCTTCCCCTTCTCACCGAGGAAGCTGAAGAAGGTGGTACAGGCGAACACCTTCATGTACTTCACGGTTCGCACCTCTCCCTTCGGCACGGATATGATACAGATGGCCACGATACAGAGCAAGTTGAACGCCGCTGAGCCGACGATGGTGCCCGGTCCGAGCTCGCCAGCCTCGAACTTGTTGCCGACGATCTCGATACAGGAGAGGAGGATCTCCGGAGCGGAGGATCCCAGCGCCATCAGCGTCAGGTTGGCTACGGTGTCTGACCAGATACGGACCTGTGGCAGAGGGAGCGTGAGGTCAGCATTAGACATGGGATGTGGCGAGTTGAGGCGCATAAAGTCCCGCGAGAAAATCTTCCTTTATGAGATCAGACATCAATAGAAAGAAGAAAAACACCAAACTGGAACCGCAACACTGAGACTGAGACTATTCTTTGGAGGTCATCTACACTGCATCCGCGGCTATAACTGCCTGCTGTCGACCCTTCCTTCACTTCTATCCTCTTTTCTTTCATTTCCCTGCGCAACAGATTACATGAGAAGTCAGGAGCTCGTAAAACATGCACAACTTGTTTATCCCGTCCCCGTGACCAGCACGACCGACCCACCTCTATAACTTCTGGCTCATTCTCTGTAGCCGAGGCCATGTAGATCTTCCTCGTCTTGGAGATGATCTTCTCGATGCTGCACATGAAGATGTCCGCGATGATGGAGATGCCCAGGAAGCAGTAGAGCAGGCCGAAGAAGTAGAGAGTGGCTCGCGCCTCCTTGGCCCAGGTGAACTCGTTGACGATGGGCAGGATGAGGCCGTCCGAGCACTCGTAGTTGTAGAGTGTGCCGTTGTTGGCCGTCATGGTGGACGGGTGGGTTTTGTGACGTCAGAGGTCACCAGTGACGTCACGGAGCGGGTGGCGCGAGCGGCCTGCCGAGAGACAGAGATTGGTGGTAAGTGGGGTGGTCAGATGACAGATGAGTGACTATTACGTTAAACTGTTTGGTTAAAAAAAAAAACGTTAGCGTGGAAAAAGCTGAAGAGCGTCTCGTATACCCAGGAATGTTCCATAATGATACCATCCAAATAACCAACAAGACATCAACACCATAAAAACAACACCCATGTTTCGTAACGGTTTTCAAAGCACTTTGGACTTGGACTTAGGTATGTGTATATAATTTCCTATTCGACATCACTCATCGTCTAATTATTTCCACCTGATTATATAAGGACATAATTACTTTCATCATGGACACCCACACCTACAGATCAATAGCCCTCCCACGAGCTGCATGTCTGCCACTGACAGTATGATCTCCCTCGACTGACAGCGGAATAATGAGCCGATAATTAGCCATCAGTAGACCCGTATGCTGAGCTACCCTGGTGAGCCTCTCTGGTGACCCCCCGAGCCTCTCCGGTGACCCCCAGAGTATCCGTTCGTAGCGCTAGGGAAGGGGTAACGGGGAGATGGGAGCGCTGCGTGTCTGGGGGGGGGGGGGGAGATTATGAGGGGTGATGGATCGGGGGAGAGGGGCGAGCGGCGGGGGGAGGGGTGGAGGAGATATGGAGGGTGATGAGATGAGCGATGACATGCAGAAAGAATAGGACTGATACTGATAGGGAAAGCAAGACGGGACATTGTGATGCAGTGGGAAGATGTTCGTGTCCTTTTCTCGACCTTTGATTATAAAATCGGTGTTTACAGAATCAAGAATGTAGGTACATATAAATCGAAGAAAATTGTCCAGTAAATTGAGAACGCCATAAACACAAAAACTAGACGATCGATTCTCCCCGTGGCAGAAATGGAGAGGGATGTACCAGCACAGGTGGAATATAAGTAAGCAGCTCCGACTTCCGTGACAATACAGTCTGATATCGTTCCACCTGTGAGGTGTCAGATTGACACCAACAAATGTCATGACATCGAGCACACACGCACGGTCGATGTGGAGAAACGTACCGGCTCCAGCTTTTTGAGACAAACTTGAATGTTTTTATTGACAGAAAAATAAGGCTAAAAAATAAGAAAAATAAGAACAGCTTCCTGCGCGATGTTCCTAAAGCCGATGTTTTTGACATGAGCCTTTGTATGTTCAAAGGTCATGTCAGGAAGTATGTGAGAGCGATGCCATTGAGATAGTGTTTTATCCATCATACTTCATGCTGTATACTTTTATCACAGTGCGTCTTGTTCTTAGTGTATACTTTTATTGATTAGTCATATTTATATTAGGTATATTTTTATAGCAGGTATATTTTCACCATATTTATTTTTACTATATGCTTTTATTGTGTAGGCATGTAGCATGCAAAGCTAGTAGATTCTTATCTATTCTTTCTTTCGATGTATTCGTATGTTTTTGACTTCGCCTCTCAATGGGTACTGCCTGTTGGCGATGTTGTGAAATAAACAAATAAACAAATAAACAAGGCTGCGATCGTTTTTATGTTTACTTTTATGCCAAAATAAACCGACAACATTCTAACACGGATAGTCATCTTCCTAGAATCTATACTTCGTGATCAATTTCCAACTAAATCTTAATATAAAACTTAGTGCTTTTTAATCGGACAGATTCTTATTCATGAGTTGATATCTCGTCTTATATGAGCATTCTACCACAGCCTACGTGCCGTGTCTGATTCTACAATCGCAGCCTGAACAGAACATCGCTGCCCTGCTCCACACGACTGAGCCTGAAACACGTCCCAGATTATCCACGCGACGTCAGTTCAAAGGTCACCGTCTCATCGATCCCGGCCCTTCATCCATATTCCGGAGCGGAGAGTTTCACTAATTCGCGGCGACCAAGACACATGAAACCACACTGGTTGTCTTTTAGAGACATTGTCCAACATTGGTTTGATGCATTTTATGCACTAGGTTTACGGGAATTCGAAATCATGCCCGCGTAAAACCAGTGATATCGAGAAAAGTACTTTCAACTTTGTGCCAAACACTCTGCACCAACAAACAGCTCGTAAGAACGAATTCGTTTCCTTTTTACCTAACCCGTAGAAATCATGAACAACCAAGCCACCCTGGGTAAAGTTTCTGCGAGTATGAATGGAATGTATGATCAGCTAATGAATCGGTTGAAAGGCGACAAACACCCAGGATGAGGACAGATCACGCGGCCACCTCCAATTAGCTAATTACGGTGGAAACGTCACACTTTCCATCAGCTGAACGTAGTGGCGAGCATGGTGACGTCACCAGTGACTCTCTTGTTGGACCAATAAAGGTGCCGCCTGCAAACAATGTTCGTGCCACAGTTGACTCGTAACGGCATTTGTCAACATTCTCCACATATTGGACTACACTGTCCAAATTAAACGGACATGGTAAACGTCCTGTCGGAGAGTAACGTCCGAGACTAACTCATGCAGTGCAACAGCTATTGTAGGCGCTCACTGAAGCTCTATGAGTATAATAGGAATAATTGCAATATTCAGCTTATATAGAACGACAGGGATATCTTCTGAATTGTTATTGGGTTGGGTGGACTGCAGGTAACAACGCAGCCGCAAGAAGACAGTGCAAACATAAAACAATTGTTTTGTGGTATTCGACTATTTCCAATAAAGCATCCGTAAGCACTACGTATGTACAAGAAGGTAGAAAGGTAGAAAAGGTAGAAAAACCTTCGAGCAAACTTCCGCCACTTCGCTGACGCGGACCCAGCGACTATCGGAGTTTTCTACGTCACCTTAGCACCGGAAGACCGTTGACCCGGTATTTTATCGGAGCGACAAAGACATGGTACTTCAGGACGTAGGTGAAGGATCAGGTGCAGAGCTTTTTGACCCAGCCCACATCCGGCAAGAGAAATGACATGTCAGAAGTTAATCCTGTTTTAAGTTCCATGAACAAGCTAGAGCTAGATCCGATAAAATAATCAAATAAGTCTGATCACGAATCAGAAGCTGATATATGAATGCTTGTAAAAAGCTGATCTCACTTCAGGCGACTGAAGTTATCAGATAACTTCGCGCATTGTTCTTCTACAGACAAGTGAAGCGGACTGAACTAAATTTTCACGAAACCCCGAGTGAAATTGATCGGGTTCTACGAAGATTCATAATGGATCAGGGCACTGAGAGAGCCGCATGGCAGAAGTTCTGCGAAACTATCAAAGTCATCTGATATTCTTAACTTTGAAGAATCACAATACCCTTGTGTTAAAGTCCTGGAACTCTTTTGAATATGGGATAAAAATGGCGGACACATTACAAAATAAACTTCCGCATATATGTATAATAATTGCCATGAAGCCTTTCCTTTTTCCTTTAGTGGTTTATTTAGAACACATTATGCTGGTGACGCGCGAAGCCCTTGATCGACTCCAGTAATAGCTAAACCATGTACGGAAATAGCTCCCGAGGAAATCACGCACTACCAAGGTCCTCTATGGCACACGGTGTGTTGTGTGGATTCAGTTTGACGTCACGGCCATACTATACTGGAATTACACACTACATAGCCAATGGACACGTGTGCATATGTGTCCATATAGGGAAATAAATTCAGGATGATGAACTGTATGTTGGAGGTTCAGCTGCGGAGTGAGTGCGGAGGCAGTTGTGTGCTCTTCGTTTATCATCTATTCAGTGGAAGATAAATGGCCTAAAGCCGAAAGGAGCTAGAGGCAGAAAATATGAACGGAGTGCAAGGAAGAGTATGAGAGAGAGAAAGCGGAGAGTGTTGGTCAGATGAGGAAGAGGTGAGAGGACAGTAAGATGGATAGGGTGGGGACGGGACGGGAGAGGGAGAGAGAGAGAGAGAGAGAGAGAGAGAGAGAGAGAGAGAGAGAGAGAGGGAGGGAGGGCAGATGGAGAGGTAGAAAGGGAGCGGGTGTTTCTGCCACTCCGATAACGAGGTCTTCTCGTTCTCCGGGTCTGACTAACTAGATGGACAGAGGGAGGGACGGCACTAACATAATTAGCCACCGCGTGGTCAGTGAATATCCTATTTACGCCGTCTGTGTTCCGAGAAGGAGCTAGCCACATCACGCATTATTCTCTGATAATTGGATAAAAGGAAGGTACAAAGCATCTGAACTGCATTCAAAGTAACGATTCATTGACAATAGCTTTTTGTGGGGCCTTGCGCTTCATAGCTGTGCCTAAAATTAAAGGTCCGTTTGCAATATGAAAAGGAAAAAAAACTATCAGACGCTAACAAATAAACACAAATATGGGCATATGCGCCAAGTCAGGCCTCCGAGCAGAGCAGTGTCAGAGATCGTACCAACGTTTCCAGCGAATAACGAGTCGCAACAGCCCTCCTTCTCTGAAACGAGCGAGGTCGAGCTAGCACCGACGAGCCTCCCGTGTCTGACCCCATCGCCCAAACACCTCACCTAAACCTATCCGCTAACCTAAACCACCGACCGGCACCGGTCCGCACCGGTGTAAACGGTGCCGTTGCCAGGACGAGCGGGTCACATGGGCTGGGTGTATGTCTGCCCCGGCCTAGGCCTGGGGGAGGGGAGGGAGGGGATGGAGGTCGCAGGGGTATCGATTTGTGGGCAGGGGGTCATCGGTGGAGGGGGGGGGGGTGCTACATGCGTGGCTTGGACATTGTTTGTGACATGAAGTGCTCGGTTGTGATTGGCGGCCTTTGTGTGACTGAATGGCCACATTGCGAGGTGTCGAGTACTGTGTTGATTCATGGTGGTAAGCTGAGGGTGCGGCAGGAAGGACTGGGCGGCATTGCTTCATGGTACTTATTTTGGTCATTGAGGAATTACTGCTTCATACTGTAACAAGGGCTTCCGCGGACTGTTCAACCCAATTTAAGTCAACTTCACATGGATACCGCCACATAAAGTAAGCGTCCATAAAAAAACAATGAAAATAAAGCATAATATTTTAAAGGTAGTGTGCCACCTTTGAAAGATTTCCCATTTTATTTTTCC